AAGGGGGGGGGGGGGGGGAGGGGCTCGTATAGCTGCACTCTATTTCCTCTTGCGGAGAAGACCCAATGAGAAATAATAATGAAATCGATGTTGAATCGATGTCGATTGACATCGATTTCATTGTCATTTCTCACTGGGTCTTCCCCGCAAGGGGAAATCCTTGTCCAGTTCCTTGTCCAAGTCTCGCCAATAGCGTGCCTTCTTGATGACTACTCTCAAGACCCTCCGCACTGAGAGATTCCTGTATCGCCATCAAGACATTCTCTTCTTCGTGTCTCTAGATCGCGTAAGGCGCCGCCAATCTACTTTCACCACCAGCTTACGCAGGTCAGTAATCCAGTATTACCAGATAATAACTACAGACAATTTTTGAAAACGTAACTCCTTCTAATATTAGAAGATATTCCATTACAAATACGCAATCAAATTTGGTTCATGCATGATGAAGTTCCAGCACATTTTAACCGCACTTGAGAATTCCTGAATAATAATTACATCTATAGATGGATTGTTAGAGGAGGACCCATTGCTTAGACTGCACGTTCTCCTGATTTAAATCCTTTGGATTTTTATTCCTGGGGACATCTTAAGACTCTTGTGTATGATACTCCTGTTACTACTGTGGAAATACTTCGAAATCATATTATCGCTGCGTGTGAAAAAATATAAAATACTCCGAGAATTTTTGAATGTCTTCGACAATCCATATGATGTCGATGCATGTCGATGCGAAGCATGCATCGAAAGAAATCATTTCCAGCAATTTCTGTAATATAAATATAAGTATAAAATAAAAATATATACAAGTATAAAATAAAATATAGATATAAATATAAAATAAAATATAGATAAAAGTATAAAATAAAGAAATGTTTATAATTTGAAAAGGAAGCGTTTTCGAATATTTACTAGGTGGGATGAAAAGTAACTTCCCTGGGAATGAAAAAAATTTTTTTCTTATGCAGAATCTCGCCCAAAATATGGCGTGTTCGCTCAGTACTAATCTTTGTAGCATCTGCTAGCTCGCGCACCTTCACTTTCCGGTCAGCCAACACCATTTCATGTATTTTTTTGACATTTTCCTCGGTAACCGCATCGGAGGGCCTGCCGCTGCGGACTTCATCGGTAGTGGAGTTGCGGCCACCACGAAACTCTCGAAACCAATATTTGACGGTGTAATCTGACGGAGTATTAGCCACATAATATTTATCCAACTTTTCTTTTGTTTCCTTCGCCGTTTTGCCTCTCAAAAAATAATGTTTTATGAGAGAACGAAAATCGTTTTCGCAAACACGTCAACAACAATCAGCTCTCAAAACAAAACTAAGGGCAGTATCGCACTGCCACTTGGCATGTCTGCCTAAATATGAACGGACTACAAGGCACCATAAACTTTTTTGCAGTAGTGGCGCATTCTGGCGGTCAAGGAGGTTACCTTTCACCCCA